CCCCAACCCCCCGTCTCAGACCCATCCCTGAACGTGTATCAGATCGTCGTCGCTTGGCCAGAGGCAAGAACTTCATATGTCGCCATGACCCCTTATCACACCACTCTTGCTGCTTGTTCCCAGACCCAGCAACCAGCAAATATCCTTATAGCCTTGTTGCCCTATCTGCCAATATGGATATTGGTCAAGCCGCAGGCTCGGTCTGTATTCTCCCTCTACGCACCATCAACTTCGCACGCTCCTGCGCAGAATCTAATACGCCGCTGGTTCGGCCCTTGCCATTCCGTATCATTCTTTTAAAGCTCCAATTTGTAACGCAGAATCCAACAAACAGCCAAGACTACCGCTGGCTCGGGTTCATAGCTGTCTTCAAGGCGTCGCCAACTTGCCACGCCAGGATCCGTCAAGTCTCTCCAGGACCTTACTGAGAAGATCAAACAATATTTAGCGACGTTGAAATCCATCTTTCTCGTGGTTCTCAATCATGTCGGAACGAACGAGGTCAACCCCATTGATGAGGATGCTACTCTCAGGAGAGGTCAGCGGAGAGGAACCTAGAGATTTGTCCCCCAAAGAGAGGTTCAACAGATGGATGGTCAACGAAGGATCCAGACGTCTATTTGTCGGCGTCTTTATCCTCGTGCACTGCATGTTGTACGGCTTTGGCTTCATGAACTATACACTGAAGGACAACCTCACCAAAGCCCGCGCCACCTATGGCTACGGCTATCCCATTGCTCGATCGGCGGCCCTCGTCCTCCACTTCGATGTTGCCTGCATCCTCCTGCCTGTCTGCCGAACTCTCATCTCCCTCGTTCGACAAACTCCCCTGAACGGAATTATTCCCTTTGACAAAAACATTACGTTTCACAAACTCGTGGGATATTCAATTGTTTTCTTCACATGGGTTCACACCATCGCTCATTTACACAACGTCGCTCAGCTCTCTGCGAAAGGCCATGGAGGCTTCATCGGCTTCGTCAAGCTCAACTTCCTCACGGGCCCCGGCTGGACCGGCTACGTTTTGACAATCTCAGTCATGGCCATGTTTTTCACCGCGCTGGAGAAGCCTCGGCGGGCTAACTACGAACGTTTCTGGAATACTCACCATCTCTTTGTCATCTTCTTCATCATGTGGTCTATCCACGGAGCTTTCTGCATGATCCCAGCGGATAACAAGCCCTTCTGTTTTGGCAATGGTTCGTTCTATCTATATTGGATGATAGGTGGCTTCACCTATCTTGTGGAGCGTATCCTGCGCGAAATCCGTGGCTATCAAAAGACTTATATAACCAAGGTGATTGAGCATCCCTCGAACGTGGTTGAGATCCGAATCAAGAAGGAGCACACCAAAACCCGCGCAGGCCAGTACATTTTCCTCTGTTGCCCAGAGATCTCACTCTGGCAATACCACCCGTTTACCCTTACCTCTGCGCCTGAAGAAGACTACCTCTCAGTGCATATCCGCATGGTTGGTGACTTCACTAAAGCCCTCGGGAAAGTCCTCGGGTGCCAGGGCCTGAAAAGTATCGATGACAAGAAAGCCAATCGATCTGAAGTTATGTCTACAATCTACGAAAGCGACACAAAGCTCACCAAAATCCTTCCGCGGCTGTACATTGACGGGCCCTTTGGCTCTGCCTCGGAAGATGTCTTCAAGTTCGAGACAGTGCTTCTGATCGGCGCGGGCATCGGCGTGACGCCATTTGCCTCGATCCTGAAGTCTATCTGGTACCGCATGAGAGACATGAGGTCCGATGCTCCAAAGACACGATTGCGGAAGGTGTATTTTTTCTGGGTATGCCGAGATTTTGGGTCACTTGAGTGGTTCAAATCTTTGCTCACAGCCATCGAGAGCGAGGATAAGAGCCATGCTATTGAAATTCATGCGGTATGTTTTTTCCCTCCCGACTGTCTCCGTTTCCTTTTTCCTCCCTTGAGTCCTTTAGCTAACACGTCTGCAAATAAATAGTACTTGACGGCTAAAATCACAGCTGCTCAGGCGTCCAACATCGTCCTCAATTCCGGGGACACCGATGCTATCACGGGTCTTCGCACACCAACGAACTACGGCCGTCCAAACTGGGACATGGTCTTTCGGGCCATCCGGAAGATCCATTGGCCGGGCGAGTGTGGTGTGTTCTTTTGCGGGCCCAAGGGTCTGGGAGCTGAGCTGCACATCAAATGCAACATGTATACAGACCCTGGGGATAAAGGATACAGTTTTGTTTGGGGAAAGGAGAATTTTTAAAGACGTTCAGTGAAAAGATGGAAGGAGAGAGGGCTATAGGAACAACAAGGCGCCCCGAGGACGTGAGGAATTCAGATTCATCTCATTTCCGCCTCGGTCATTCCTCCCTTTCTCTCTGTGTGTGGTGGTAGCCTCGTCTACAATAACCTCAAGAACCTCGAGCGTATCCATATCCCACCGTTGCTGCTACGCTGTAGCCTCAATCCCCCTCTCAAAGGCGATGGTGACGGCGATACCAATCAGATCAGATTCAGATAGCTCATTTCATCAAGCATTATTTCATTTTTCATACGGCATATACACAATGCTCCAGTGCTCCCGTGCTCCATTTGTCGTTGGTCACCATACCACACCACATTACACGAGCCACACCTGATGGGTAGATATTCTTGCACAGAAAACAATTGCAGTCATACGGCGGTCATCTATCTATCCTGCCTGTCTGCTCGGCTCAAACTCCTCAGCACGGCGCCCAGATCTTTCGGTGGGCTAGTACTGCTGCTACCACTACCACTGCCCGACCCTGACGCTGTTCCTATTCCTAGGGCCCTTCGTTTCCCTTCTCTCTCGCGCTGCGTCAATTTCTCCGCGCAGATGGCTAATACCCTGCCGGCCACTTCGTCCGCCGCAGTGCGGTATTGCGCTATCGTGTGGATTCCATCCGCAAACATGTCGACCGTCGGACCTATTGATTCCAAAACCCCGCCTAGGCGCCGTGATATTTGGTCCGAGGTCGTTAGGGAGTTGTTGTTTGAAGCTATTACTGAGTCAAGTGCCGCTACGTCCGTGTCGGAGAGAAGCGATCTATCCAGTTCGTTTGCTTTCGACGGACTCGTCGGAACATCGAGGTCATGCAAGCTGGGCACGTTTGGTGGGCGCAGCAAATTCTCCAATGCCTCTTTTTCGAGCCGCAGACTGTCATTCATTACCGTCAGCCATGTTCCTGTCAACGTTTTGTCAGCCTTTCAAAGTCTTACCATTTAATTTGCTCCTCCAACTCGACAATCTTTCCAATGTTCTGCGTGTTCTTGGGGTTCGGCCTCTCTGGAAGTGGTTCCTTTGGCACGGGAACTTCTTCGCGGCCAAACCAGTCCGATAGATCAGATCTGTTGGCCAGCTCTTTCAACAACTCTTCTTCGATCACTCGAGCTAGCAGAAGACTTAGCATACCATTGGGCCCTGGAGACTCTGTTCACAAACCTGCTTGTCGTGCGCTGGCTTCTCCAAACCCAGTCCCTAATGGTTTTTCATCAAGAGCACGCTCGGCACACCAAATGAGAAGCTGTTTCATCCGCCTTGGTTCCGGAAGACCCTCGCTTTCAATGTGCTTGTAATAGTCCGACACGTCCAGTTCTGGGTGGGGCAAGGCTTGACGGAGGATTAGTGAACTGTAACCGAATTCATGCACCGGGTTCTCACCACTGGAATTTCCTGATTCAATGAGCGAGCTGGCCCTTCGCCCGCGCATACCCAAACTGCTCCTCCTTTCACCCCTGCCGGCCTTTCCTTCACGCATGGCCTTGTTCCGTTTCATGACCGGTGTATCCGCAAAAGGCAGCGCGATCTTCGTTGAAGCGTGGTTTTCTTGCAGAGTAGGGACAATTTCCTCCTGTTGATTGTTTTCGGCTTTCTCAGCAGGTGGCTCGTCCGCTTTCTTTTTAGGTGACGCTTTGGGAGCCGCTTCAGCATGGTGTTCACGCTTCTTCAGTTCCTCCGTGCGCACGCTTTTCTTGACAGGACTTCCTTTTCGCTCTTCGTTATCCTTTGATAGACGTTTTGAGCGACGCGGCGGAGGATCTTCGTTCGGATTGGGCGTGGGAAATGACGTTCTATTCCTCCGCTGTTTGGGCTTCCTCCCTGTCTCTTCATTCTTCGGCATTTCGGTCCTGTTACTCGTCGCCTGAGGTTTTGGCGCGTCGTTTTGAGCTGTTAAGGCACCACTCTCTTTCTCCGCCAGTCTCGCTTGAGGTTCCTTCTTTTTGACGCGTTTGAATTGGAACCCATCGTCCTCCTCGTCGTAATCTAAGAGCGAGTGTAAGTCGTCCTGTTTGCATTTGGCCCCTAGGCCTCTTGATAAAGACCTACCCATCTTTCTTTTCTTCTCATTGGAGAGTCTGGCTGCTTGCGCAGTTGCAGGATCCGAAGCGCCGACTGTTGTCTTCGCATTTCCGTTGCTTTGTTCATAGGTTGCATACAATGTCGCGTCAGCTTTCTCTTGAATTCGCGCGCTTAACCTTCGAGTCGGCCTTTGGACGGTTGACATTGGCAGAGGGTGCAGCGGAGGACGCGCAATTAGCATTGTCATTTGAGCGTTGGTGGTGAGCGAGGAGAGCAGGATCCCGCGTTTGTGAGTGGAATCGGTCGCATGCGCACGCACGGAGTTGGCCTGTGTGTTAAAAGGTGTGAAATTTCATTATAACGATATCTCTGCTAAAGAGGGGTCGGATCGCGGCGCATTCGCAGAGGGAGGAGGCGTGGGAATTGGCGTCGAGCTGTGGTTGAAGCTGGTGTCCAGCGCTGGAACCACTTGCATCGCGGGCCTGTTGGATTGTTTACAGGTCGACGCCGAGCCCGCCAATCACAGGTCAGATGCCGCTTTTACACGCCGAGTCCGCTCCGCTCCACCGCCACCACTTCGTCCACTACTCTCATTCCTCAGTCCGCCCCTTGTCCGTCCTTGGTCAGTCCCTGAACAAGATAGATTCCACAAATCCAGATCCTATGTGTGCTACAGAAGAGATATTGGTCATTACTCGGTATACAGCGTTGTCCATTCGTTCAGTAACCTATCGATTGCATCGGGCTCCCCTTCTGCAGCCTCCTCCTCCTTACCCGTTCTGTCCTCGCCAGAAGACTCTACTTCGTCTTTGAAAGATTCGTCTGGTCCCGCCTCGGCGGGTGGGCTTTCTGTTCTGTTCGTCGACACAGGAACTGCTGCTGAACCCTCCCCCATTGTAGCAGGGGGGTGTGTGTCTTTCTCAGCATCTTCGGTTGAAGGAAGGTTCGTGGCCTCCTGCTGCGTCGATTCCACTTCCACGGCCGCCTCGGGTAGAGGAGCTGTTGTACCTGATCTACCTGCACCTTCCAGGCCCGGGACCTGAGTTGTGCTCGTGGCTGGCAAGGAAGGTGCTGGTCGACCTTTGATAGGGGAAGGAGGCTTCAAGATGTCATCGAAGGTCGGGGATCTTGCAAGTTTAGGGCCAGTCGAGTCGAATCGTCGTAACGCACCGGCATCACCAACCCTCGGCTTGTTGAATTCAAGCACAGTATCTGGATTTTCAGACTCCTCCTCCACACCGAAGAACAGACCAGAGTTCTTTACCGTCCTGGGAGACTGCGTCAGCTTAACACTCACACTGGTAGAACATGGTCAAGACTCACTGTTGAATGGAATCTATCGCTGCCGTTGGAGAAGGCAGAGATTCCCAAACAGATGAATACCACGGCTTTCTGGTAGACTTGTTCCTGAATCCCGCTGCCGAGGCGTCCAAAGGCTCTGTCTTGCTCTCCGAAGCGCCTAGTGTCACCGCGCCCCGGGAGGCTCTCTCGCGCATCTCTGCCACTGTGACGGGATCGATTATTTGAGCCTGAGCCCTATGTTGATCCTGAACTCTGTGGACGACAGTCAAGGCCTCGTCCTCAATATTAATGCTCTCGAGCGCGCCCGCTGCAACACTGGCGTACATGTCTAGATCGTCACTGGTGTTTGACTCCACGTGAAATGGAGTATCGTTCTGCTCAGGCCAACTCCGTTGTTCTTTACGAACAATGGACAGGACTGCCCACGGGTTTGGCCGCCCTGGAGCGTGTCGAGAGTCGCTGAATTCTTTCTCCAATTCGATATGCACTCCCACCCGCTGGCTGTGACTAGCCACAGAACTTGACTGCTCGAATTGAAGCAATGCCCTTTCGATGTGCTTGAGGCACCCTCTGATGCTCGACTCAAATTCGGGGTGCGGAAGGAATATATGTTGAGGGCTTGAAACGGCGACATCTTGGTTTGAAACCGTGCTCTTGGACAACCCAGTGAACGGGCTGTCGGCAGAGGATGCCTCCGGCGCACTGGCTCCTGAATTCGTGGATTGGGTGTGCTCGAGGACGACAGTCTTGTCCTGGGGCCCGATGGTCTTGAGAAGATGCTGATACTTCCTTGTAGTTTCTTCATTTGCTCGGAGCAGGTTTTCGAGCAGCGTCCTCGGATATCCATTTTCGTCTTCGGACGACGTCTTCTTTCTAGATGCCAGTGAGATCCAAGATTCACGCAAGTTTTCGAAGTGCGCAGACCTACTCAGCTCTCAAATCTCTCGCATAAGTCAAGACATTCAACATCAGCACGAGCGTGCTCTTGAGCCTCTCCAGATTGCCTTGCAGTACCTCCATCCCGGGCTGGAGGAACGGCCACTTGAGCCTATCCGTGGCAGATAAAGCCAGCTTGCCTCCTTCCTTCTTCAGCCCATTGTTCGATGCACTCTCCACTGCTCTCGCGACAACGGCGTCAATCTCCTTGAACACGCCCTCGCATTCCGCCACGACGTCTTTGGCCGACTCGACAGCCGAGATAGAGTACAATCTGGCCTGGTCATCCTGTTTGAGATCGGCTCCGAGTTCTTCGAGGACAGAGGCCATCAGCGACACATCACGGGCGATGTTTTTGATCTGGTCGGGGGCGGTGGCCACTGTCTCGGAGAACGTGTACAAGGCTATTGACAGCTTGATGCCGGCATTGGCGACGTCGACGATGCTGCGAATCAGGCCGACTACGTCTGCCATGGGTGGCTTCGAAGACTTGGGTGCTCCGCTCCGCTTCTGGTATTCCTCGTCCTAGTCCAGGCCCGCACACAGCCAGAAATACGAGAGAACCCTGGACACGAACGCTGAGATTCTGGGTTTGTATCGTCAACAAGAACCCTTCTTTCTTATCATACAGTTGTAAAAGGCGCTTGAGAAGCGGTAAGTGTCTTGGATGTCAAAGACGACAAAACCAGGCTAATTCAAGCTGACTAAATAGTCACTTATTTCGGGGTCCGTAAACGACAAACAAGTCGCCCTTGAGGTAAGGCGTGCCGCACGAAGGTACGATGTAGCACAAAGTAGGAGAACACCACGTGGAGGACACCACTCTGACTAGTGTTCTGTCGAGCTTGAACATCCCGGGGTACATACGGAATACGGCGTGGCTTGCTCAAATGTTCTTGCTTGACCAGCTGTGCTCCTTGGCGGAGTGGCTTGTAGAACTTGGGGTCCGATTATAGCTTATGGTGCATATTGGGCGAGGCTGGAGCAGTCCAGGAGACGACTGTCTCGACCACCACTAGGTACCACAAGAGATCAAGAAGCAGAACCAGGGAAATAGGCGAGAATGCATAATTCTTTTTTCTCTCCCCCCCTTTCCTCCCCCCTTCCCAAAAAGCTACTTAATTTGCATAATGGACACGGCTTTTATTGCGATTTACTTGTATATAATCCCTCTTTACACCACATAGATCCAGCACCTACAGCAAGGCACATTACTATACCCACGTGTATTGTTTTGTTTCGCAGCATTCTTCTGTACCTCTGGTGGCATTCTACGCTCTACAATCGACCAAGATCTTGACGTGCCTATCCTTTTCCTCGATCAACGGCCTGAACCCGTCCTGCGCCACCCGGTCAATCTTGATCTTGCCCGTGATCATCCTCTCGGGTTCCAGGGAGTGGTCGTCGAGGGCCTTGATGACGCCCGCGAAGTCGGATTGGAGGTAGCCAAGGACTTCGGTAGAGCGAGAACGTCAGCACATACCTAGCGTGCATGTCTCGCTGAGAGAGCGTCGGAAAGTGTGAAAGGGCGCTCATTCTTCGTCATGCCGGGAGAAACAGCAGAATGGGGAAGAGCGTTGACGGGACTTACTTGCAAAGTATTTCTTCTCCCCGAATACAAGAGTGTTCGGTTGGAATGGTACCTGTCAATCAACCGTCAGCGGTCCCAAATCATGCCTCGTTCCTCTCCCTCTCCACCCCTTTCAAGCTGCCAGCAAGTATTGTTTCCAATGCCAAAAGAAGGGCGATGACATACCTCTTTCTCCCAGATGGCCAAGTTCACAATCGTCCCCCGTGCCCTCACCGCCAACGCCGCGTCTCTCAAACTGGCCGGAACCCCCGCCGCATCCAGTGCAACATGCGGTCCCTGGCCCCCAGTGATCTCTTTACTTCTCTTCACCACGTCCTCGGTCCTAGGGTCAATTAGATGTGTAGCACCAAACGCCTTTGCGAAGTTCTGGCGCTCCTTTGCGACCTCAGCGACAATGATGGTACCGGCACCGCGAGCCTTCAGGCATTGAATCACTCCGAGTCCGATGGGACCAGCACCCATTACGAGGGCGCTGTCGCCCTTCTTCAGCGGGTACTAAAAGTCTTGCATCAGCGTAGAAATATCCATAGCGTCACAAAACACGTCGTGACTCTTTCCCCAGCTGTTCGATAGGGCCCTGAAGAACCTACCTGGTCGACCGCATGCCAGGCCACGGCCAACGGCTCCACCAATGCACCCACGTCCAAGCCTACATGGTCCGGCAGCTTGAACACAAACTGTGCATCGACACAGACATAGTCACTCATTCCACCGCCACCGCCGCTCAACCCCACAAATCCCGCGGAGTCGCAGCAGTTGATGTAGCCGTCGTTGCACGGCCCGCAGTGGAAGCAGGCGAGGGTGGGTTGCACAGCGACCCTGTCCCCCACCTGGAGGGTTTGACCCTGGAAATTGGAATGGGAGGCGGCGAGGCGCCCAATCTCCACGATTTCCCCCGAGAATTCATGGCCGATGGGGATTGGCATCGACTCCTTTGTGATTGGGTGAGGAGAGCCGGGTTGTGGGATGAATGTCGGCGACGAATATTCGTGTACTGTAGAAAAGGTCAGCCTAAGGAGTTCATGGTTCTCCGAGATATGGTTGTTTCCGACGCCTGAGTAGAAGTGCTCTCGAGACCACGAAACATGGGACGAATAGAAGAAAGGCCACGAAACCTACAATCTGTCCCGCAAATCCCACAAAAGGCAGCTAATGCGTTCCATCTCAACTTGTCAGCCCGGCCATCCAAAGCTCACTCACAACGGCACAGGATGCCTCGTTCATGACAGCCGATGACCTCCACCGGGGCTTCAGACTCAACTCACGCTTGACCTTGATCTGGTTGTCTCCGCATTCTGGTTCGGGGATGTCGTTGTCGACGCGGAGGTCTTTGACGCCGTGGTAGCGCAGGGCGCGCATCGTGCTTGATCTGTTGATCGTTTTGGTTTCAATTTGCAGCTGCTGCGCCGGGGCTACGAGAACGAAGTTTGAAGAGCTGCTCGGTGGGTTTATACTCGACCGGGCAATGATGAAAGGGGAAAACTAGACGGTCAGTACAACGGCAGTGGTAGGCGGAATATATATACTCCCGCTTCATTGATATTTGCGGGGAAGGAAATCATATGGGAAATCATAGACAAGTAGTAGTGCCATCTCCATCCTGTGCAGCGGAATCCAGCATCAGCAAGCACGGTCTAACGGATCAGCAACCACAGCCTCGCAAACACGAGATTCTGTGAGGGGAAAAGCTGGGCGAAGCATACGGAATACATACCGAAGTTCGAGCCTCAGCCACAGCCACAAGCCACATGTTTATCTCGGTGGCTGCTGGAATTTTTCTCCGCAAGGCTCCGCAAGGCTCCGCAAGGCTCCGCAAGGCTCGCATCTGAGAAAAGCGGGAACAATGACGAAGCAATACGAGGATCGTCAAAGAAGATCTGGGGAAGGGAAACAGAAACAGCTCTTTAACGTCTCACCCATCGTCGGCATTAATTAAAAGCACCCCATCTGCTTTTTGATTTCTGTACGATAGTACTATCTCGCCCCAGCCCCAAAGGCTGAAGCTGACAAACGCGCTCGCTAAAGGATTGAAAGTGCTGTTGGCCACAAGCCGACACGCTCAAAAACATAAATCGTCATTGCTCACTCGGGATATCGTCATTCCACTCCGTTGACCGTTCTGACATGATTCCAAACCAAGTCATGCCTCCATCATCCATGAACCTGAAACTGTCGCCGATATTCTTTTCGTCTTAACCATAATGCTTTTCCAGTTTTCCAGTGCCCTGAGACAAAAACTTCTCTGTCCAAGTATTAAAGCATTGGGACGAATCGAAGGCACCTGATGCTCGTAGCTCGAAATTGCAAGTAGACACAGTCAAAGCCTAGACCAACAGCTTGAAGATGGCCATCAGAACAGCGGCAAAGGCACCCGTGGCCACCTGCTGAGGGAGGGCAATCGCAGCACCACCGGTAGCAGAGGCACTGGATCCGGTGGCGGAGGCAGAGCTGGTGCCAGACCCGGCAGCGGAAGCGGATTGCGACGACGCAGGAGCAGAGGTGGAGGACGCCGAAGAAGCAGAGGCAGCAGACGTCTGCGCAATGGCTTCGGCAGTCGCATTACGGGTACCACATTGCTCATTCGCGCTGCACGTTGCCTGTCCTTGGGCATCATTGGGGTGGTTGTCAACACACTGGATGTAGGTTTCTTGACAGATGTAGAACGGAAGAGTCTCGATGAAGGCAGTGCAATCAGGTACGGTGCCGTTGGCGCAAACGCAGGTGTAGGTGAAGCTGTTCTGAAGGAGATGTTAGCTGTCCATCGTCGAGAGAAGACCGGGGTTGGCCATACCTGATCACACTGGTTTTGAGAAGCAGCACCACCACAAATCTGGGGGCAAGTGTTCAGTTGGGCATGGCACCAGTTGACTGTACTCTCTATCAGTATGTGGGGCCCACGACACTCAGACTGGGGCTTTTCCCCTCTTACAGGCTGTCGTGGAATCAATGCCAGCAGGGTTGAAGGCTGCAGTGGCGACAGGAGGCATTGCCTGCGACTCGGTGGTTGAGGCTGCGACCGAGGACGCACTCGAGGTGACAATGGTCTGCGCATGGCCGAGGGCAGCCAGAGACGCTGCAAGGAGGATTTGGTACTGCATGGTGAAGGTTCGACTCTTCTGTCAAATGCAGAGAGTCAATCGATGCTCAAAGTACTAGAGGTGGACTGATGGATGGATGGAGTAGAGTATACGGGAAAAGAGAAGAGGGAGAAGCTGTGGGCTGTTACTCGGGAGTGAAGTGGGAGGCGGAGGGCAGGATGCACACACTGCAGTAAATAGTAGACCGGAAAGAAGGACCCGGTACCTGGATTCCTGGGGTAAGAGCTCACCTTTATGAGTTTGCGAGGCTGGTAACGACGACGAGGAAAAACCTCTTGGGGATGCTTTCCGGTTGCTATGGGACTGAAGGGCGTCTGAGATAGAGGCTGGGAGAGGGTGCGGTGGCTTTTTTATTCCATTGCGCGTTCATGGACATTTACCTGCTACTGTTGCTTAGCTCTAAAAAGGGCCGGTATCATGTCCATCACGATGCCGCTATCTTGTCACCCACTTGGCTGGATTGAGGCCTAGCCGGCAGCTAGGGGCACTTGGGGCTACCTGTACGGCACCATCAGGAACCTATTAACCCCAAAGCGACTGGCGGGTGACTGGGGGCTCGCATGCTTGGGCCAGCCCATTCGTCACTCTGCTGCAATTCTAAAACACATTAAGGCCCGCGCCAATCACCAGGGCAGCGCATGCCCGGCGACCCTGACCTACCCTTACCTGTCCTTCACCCATCCCTGGCACCCACCTCCACTGCGGACAATCTTGCAGCAGACTTGGGAACCCAGTCACTACCCCCAAGCAGCCCCCTAGTGGCGCCCAGACCCAAACAGTTCTAGGCGTCGGACACCTCAAGCAGGGAGATCCGCCCGCCAAACATCCCGCCATTCACGACTCCAGACGCAGTTGCTCGTATCTCTCTGGTCAATGCAGCCTCATTGGCCCAGCGCAATGGCTACTGTAACCGACCAAACCGAGGCACGAGCTCGGACCCCATGTCCCATGTCCATGGACTTGGAGAATTGAAAAAGAGACTCAAAAAAGTCATACTTCTACACTGCATCCTGCATTCTGCCGCCTTTCTCACTCCGCTCTGTTGAATGGGATAATGTGTGACAGGTACAGGTAGCACAACCGCGGTCGTCATGGCTCCCCAAACCGAAGAGATGGACTTCATGTCCAAGTTCATCACCACCCACCGCGTCCCCGAAGATGCCCGGCGACACTTCGCATCCGTTGAATGGACCAACAAACACCTGTCTAATCCTCTCTACAAAGCCATTCCTACCTTTTCGCGCGTCCTCAAGGACTCCGGCGAAGACTACTTTTTCTCTCGCACCGTCAGCTCGCCCTCAACCATCCCTCATCTCGTCACACTGCAGTTGAAGGACTTCCCCAAGTATCCAGAAACACCCAAGGGACAATTAAAATTGAGAACCAACCACAATGAAGTCACTCAAGTACCCGCGAACCCTGACTGCATTATGCTCTTGCAGCTCGGTCGCCCCGGGCTAGACGGTCATCCCTCAGTTATCCACGGCGGCATGGCCTGCGCCATCCTCGATGAGATGATGGGGCTTTGTGTGATGCTACACCACCAGCACATCTCGGGCCCTCGGGATTCTCTTTTTACCGTCAGTCTGAATGTCACTTACCGCGCTCCCGTACCGACACCGGGCGATGTGCTCGTGAGGTGTTGGCTCGTGGGAAGAGAAGGTCGCAAATGGCTGTCGCGGGGTCAAATAGTAGACAAGGACGGCAAGGTCATGACCGAGGCCGAAGGGATGTGGGTTCTGGCAAAGAGACAGGAAAAGTTATAACATACCTGAGGCTGGTGCAAGCACCGTTCCCCTTATCGGGCTGGGTTAGCTATGTACTCAGCGCTCATTCCTTCAAGTCCGGTCTAATCATCCGCTACGCCCCCGCTATCAGCCATCTGTTATCGCTGGCGAGATTGGGAATGTCAGCTCGGGAAATTATGGAGAAGCAGTGTGGATCCACGCCACCAGATAGAGGCGCACAACACTGTCTCGCTGATGATATAGAAGGGGTCTGCTGGAGCAAGAAGGCTGGTGCGCGCCAAGGATAGATACACCCAAGGATTGGGTCGAAAGGCGAGAGATATCTAGACACCAGTGATAGATCTCGACACGTATAGAACAGAAAGATTTCGGTAATGGACACCACAATGGCGCCATGGGTTCCGACTTGCGTTGGCCCTAGGATGTCGTATTGTTTCCATTTCCTTTCATCAAGTATCGGTCTCATCACGTTTTTCCAATCAATGCTGCTTCATCAGGCCGCCCGGGCTCAGACCAGGCGAACTAGACTTTTGCCAGAGGCGTCGTCTCAGGACTTGAACTCGATCCAAAGACCCTGCTGCGTCTTTCAACAGGCCTGAAACATCCAAAGGAGACTGTCCAGCTGCGAGCCCAGCGACTGACACCACAACCACCACTAGCACTGCCATAGAGATGATCGGCCTTCGCGCCCTCACGCCGGTGCCATGCCAGGGCGCCTCCTTTGGTGAGGAGGACTCGGAGCACAAAGACCAGCACGGGTAGGGGCGAAATGAAGGCCCAGCAGACCCAGAAGCAGTGCTAGATGACAGGGTGGGCGTCCCAGCGCAGCGAGGGCACCGAGAAGAGCGCGGTGATGAAGGTGCCGGGCAGGAAAACCATGGTTGTGATCGCGATGTTGTAGAGGCGGCGGCTGTGTGAAGGCGGAGAGGGCCATCCACCATTACTTCATCCATCACAGGATCATTTCGACTTCGACCGGCAAGGCGCTCATCCGTCGCGACATTTCGGCCAGCTCTCGCATGTCATCCCGCAAATCGAACTTCTTCTGCCAGAGATGGAAGCCCGTTGTTGCCTTGACGGCCCGGACTTCACCGTATTGCTTCCGCAGCAGGTTGTCCAGGAAGTCGATCGTCTCGATTCGGCCGGGGAGAACGAAGAAAAGAGGATGTGAGATGAGCTCGGCATTGCACTTCATCAGCGAGACACAATCATTAAGCGCCTTCCGCTCTCTCTTGGAATTGTTGACAAGGACGACGCCTTTGGTGGAGTGGCTTCTTCGGTCGTATGCCCAGACAAATTTGTAGGCAAAGCATTGGAAAATAGTTGGTGGTCGAGGTGACGTTGGGGATCTCCTCCTCCCAGGCAATGGAACCCGTCGTGTCGTTGGATATCAGATTGAGACTGTAGAGGTCAATTTGGAAGATTTCGAGCAATTTGAGGAAGCCTGCTTAGCCGGTGTAGAATGTCTAGCGTGAAGCCGGGAGGTCATAACTAGAGTCAGCGAAGGGTCTGAAACCCAGCCCGGGAGGAAGAACTCCCTGACTGTCGCTCAATAGACTCTAGTGAGGCAGCGCTATGGGCAGCTTATGGCTCTGATCCTGTGCTGCCCCGTAATGTTGATAACATCGTATTGCGAGGGACCTTTGCCGAAGCACTGCGCCTGGAAGACGTCTAATGCAGTCTTCCGAATCGCATTCATGGCAGCGACTGTAGTGACCAGAGGGCTAGTGTCTCAGCTGAGAGCTGAACAACGCAGAAACAAGGGGATTTGCAAGGGATTCTAGAGAGAAAGGGAGATGAAAATGTTCCATTTTTATACCTTGATTGATTGGGAATACACGTCTGTGCTACACTGGCGTTTCGCGTTGGTGTGAATTTGCCTTACAGCCTGCCCTTCTTCAGGAACATGATCAGGGGGCCGAAGAAGGGTTATGTAGTGACTCGTCGTGTGCTCTCCCCTCTCGATTCGTATCTTTGTACGCAAGGCATTCGGGTTGGACGCCTCAGGACGGAGGGAGGGATTGTGGCCGCTATTCCTCTCTGCCTTGATGATCAGCGAACAGCCCGACTTGCTGAGTTGGCAGTCAGCGTTGTTGTCCAAGCTGAGGCTAACAATAACCTTGAAATCCACTCGGCAGCCTTCTTTCGAGCCAGACCCAAACACTCTTTCGTATTGGTGTATACGTCTCGGGGCATCTCGTTTCCAGGTGCCCATCACAAGAAGCTGAGGGTGTCTAATTGCTAAAGAAATACGTGGCAGCGACTGCTGGGCGCAGCTTCGCCTGCTTCTCGAATCGCGAAAGATCCCATCTCATGCGGTCCCTGATGCCAAATCCACGCGTTTTGGTAAACATTCTTGTGTCAAAATCAGCCGGCTGCTCATAGAGCAAGAAGATATATCGATGTGGGCCGCTGATCGGCGGAGGACCGGGGCCAGCCCAAGAGGCGATGGCAGGATCCGGGGAGGTCAGGTCACCGCTTGCTCCTTGGACTGCAAGGCCGGCCTGTAGCCAGTGCAGGGCGGGACTCAGGGGTGCAAACGAAGGGAAGGGCGCGTCGAGGTCGAGGCTGACGACAAGGAACTTCTCTTCCGAGGGCGCATTCCAGCCCAGTGTCGGGAGCCCTTGAGCTTCTAGCAAGGAGTCAACCTGGTCAGCGAAAGACACCACAAACGGCGCCAGATTCCACGCCAACTCACCTCCTTTGGGTATCTTGTCGCCCGGCTTCGCCTTCCGGGATCCGAACGCCAAATGAAGGACTTTCGAGTTGTCGTTCTCGATCAGCGACAGGACCGATTTCATGATCGGATGGTCGGGCATGGCTGAGGATCGTAAAGCCGTGCTGTTTGCCACGACGAACTCAAATCTCGTGACGAAGAAGCTGACGCGCAGTTCACGAAAGCATCATCCAGATATCGGAATTGCGAGAATCATATTCGCATCGAGTGATTGCCAATTTGGCGCTCCTGTTATTGCTGTGTTGATCCATCCGCAAAGGGGATGAGATGCCCTGTTCCGGCCCGGTCTCGCACGGCCGTCCCCGGGACCGGCGTTATGGGAGAGCTAGACATTGGATCACGCAACAAGCCAGTCGAACACTTCGACACTTCATCCACCAATTGTTTGAAATCTCCAATTACCTCTCACTTTTACCTCCAGTTAGTCCCGACATCTGGCCAAGGGAGATACTGATACTTATATGTCTTCGATTGCACTCAGGGTAATCATGGCTCGTTTCTCCATGTCCTCTCAGCCTTAAAGACCATGTTGAAGGAAGCAAGAGGAGGCTCTTCGATATCCAACTAGCGACGCATTCGCCTGGCTCGATTACCATATGGCAAGCACACCAGATATCAGCATTTTGTAAACACTACCCGATACGTTTTGATAAAGGCAGTATGGCTTCCAAGAAAGATGGCGTCCTCCTTCAAGACACACACAATGAGACGGAAAGAAGTGTCCCTTCAAATGTCGATGATGCCAGCGACACCATAAACATCTCCGGGCAAGACATGGCCAGTCTTCCATCCTCGGAGCCGACGAAAAAAGACATCGAGGCCCAAAACTCGGCTCTGACGACGACGTCAAGCACCACAAGCAAGAAGCCGTACACGGCTTTTTCCAACAGTGCAAAATGGTTCATTGTCACCATGACCGCCATGGCGTCCTTCTTCTCGCCTTTGTCCGGCCAGATCTACTATCCAGTTCTCCCCATCCTGACAAAGACGTATCATCTCTCGTCGGGTCTGATCAACGTCTCCATCACCACGTACATGATTTTCCAGGGCCTGGCGCCGAGCTTCATGGGCACCTTCTCGGACGCCAGCGGTCGACGACTGGGCTATATTCTTGCCTTCACCATCTACACGGCTGCAAACATTGGTCTGGCGCTGCAGGACAGTTATGCCGCCCTACTCGTCCTGCGGTGTCTGCAGAGCGCAGGGAGCAGTGGCACAATTTCCTTCGGATACGGAGTGATTGCTGATATCGCCACTACTGGAGAGCGAGGGAAGTACTTCGGCCCTATGGCGGCGGGCGTCTTGACGGCGCCAGCCCTCGGACCGACAATCGGTGGTCTCCTGACGCAGTTTCTTGGATGGAGAGCGGTCTTCTGGTTCCTTACAATCATTAGTGGCGGGTTCCTAGTGTTGTACCTCATCTTCATGCCCGAAACGCATCGCAAGATCGTGGATGACGGGAGCATCGTGCCACATCAATGGTGGCGCCAGTCGGTCGTCCAGTATTTAGGCGGTCGCCGCCGGCTGAAGAGAATGAGTGCCCAAGAGAGGGACAACTATGAACGCGCCCGCCAGGCTCTTGTGGAACAGCAGCGCGACACGAGGATCCATTTCCCCAATCCTCTCGAGTCCTTTGTCATTCTCACCAACCCGGACGCATTCTGTCTCATCATGTACACCGGGATAATGATGTTCAGTAACCTGGTTCTGATGACGAGCACGCCCACCGTGTTTCCCAGGCTGTACGGCCTCAACGAGCTCCAGGTGGGATTGTGTTTCTTGTAAGTGGGGGGCCTTTCCCCCTTTCTTCTTCCTTTGATTTCTCACCATCCGTACTGAAATGTGGGTTTGAACCTGACTGATGATATGTTAACAAGACCACTCGGCATCGCGGCGGCAATTGGCGCGTTCTGCAACGGCCGTCTTCTGGATTGGAACTACCAGCGCATGGCGCGCAAGCTGGGCATGACGGTGGACCGGAAGCGCGGCGACGATCTGCATAATTTCCCTGTCGAGCGCGCTCGCCTGCAGGCCGTCTTCCCCTTCCAGGCCTTACAGGTCGCGGCCCTGGTTCCCTACGGCTGGGCGCTGGAGAGACACGCCTCGCTCGCGGCGCCGCTCGTCCTGCAATTCGTACTGGGCTTCTGTCTGGTCGTCGCGTCCAACTCGATCAGCACCCTCCTCTCGGACATCTACCCGGGCAGCGTCTCGACCGCGTCCGCCGCCTCGAACCTCGTCCGCTGTATGCTCGGCGCCGTTGGCGCCGCCGTCGTCGACAACATGCTGACCAGTTTGGGGCTCGGCTGGTGTTTCGTCCTCGTCGGCCTGCTGATGGCCGCGGCCACGGCGTTTCTATACATCGAAACCCAATGTGGCATGCGTTGGCGGCAGACGCGGTGGCAGAAACTGGAACAGAGGAAAGAAAAACAAGTCGAGAAGGAAAAGCGGAGGACTCTCCTCCGAGCCCAACAAGAAGAAGCCTCCACCGATCCACCTGCGTAGAGTGATGGGATAGAGAGAGACACAGAGAGGGAGTTTGACGGCTTATCTGGGCTGGACGTGGGAGTTGTGGAGTTTCCGCTGCCTAGTTTCGGGAAGGCTTTCCGTGTACATTTATGTACGCTATCAATTGCAGGATATCCTCGGGCGGAAAAATGGGAATCGGATATATACATATATACCAAGAGAGATCAGACAGATAGACACGTAACTAAACCGGTCTCGAAAACCATCTATCCATCTCTAGGCTCTGTGCGCCACGTCATTTGGAATTCCCTTGTTCAGCTGATGAGGTATGTGTTAATCAGCCTACATGGATAGAGTATGTATCAGCTTCTAGGGGTATAGTCCGACTTGTTCTACGCTGGACGTTGGACGCCTGAGTCCTCTGGAAGCGACACCACACTACACCATCTTTCCTAAGAGAGGAGGATAGAGCAGGGTAGAAAAGGCACGTACCGGTACGGTTCTACATATCTAGGTAGTAAATAGAGGACAAAAGGCAAAACCGTACCGGCCAGCCATGGAAACCAACACATGCTGTTGAAAACTGAAAACTGTCTTTGAATGATGTAAGGCCCGGGAGAGAGGAAGGGAGGTAAGGGGGGGGAACGCCACTGTGTCTATTGTGTACCTGTCGAAAGAAAGAATCATGTTTCTCATTCATATCCACGATTGATTCTACATGCATGCACGTCCACATGTCCAATGGCATGGTGATTCGATTCCGGTTCCGACTCCGATATCCAAAATCCCGGCCAGTAGCAGCAGCAGCAGCAACATCAGCACCTTCCAGCAAAGGACTAAAGTAAAGATCCCCCACCGAAAGCACGCAAGGCAAAAGCATACAGTTTGCAATTCACATCCATCCATCCGTCCCACGTTCTCAGATGAAGGATTTTATTCTCCTTCGTATCCCTCTCCCACCGCCGGGTCCCTGGTGACCTTTATTTCCTGCATCGCGTTCTCCCCGTCCCTTTCACCCTGTAACACCAAGCCCTTTTCATTCGCCAGATGTAACAAGCAGATGAAACAGTAAGATGTGCTAATGTCTTTCATCTGAGGTTCCGGATAGAAGGAGCGAAGGTCTTGGATGAGGTCGGTGAAATTCAACGTTCCGCTGTCGTCAGGGTCGCGTGGTGAGTTTGGATCGTCCTGCGCGGGAGTAGGAGGCTCTTCGGCTTTGGGTGGAACTTCTTCTTGCTGGGGCTGGTCATCATCGATGTCCATCATATCGACGTCGCCGTCTCCGTCCTCACGGGGTCGTTGCTCGGCTGTCGTGGCGGTCGAGGGTCGATCAAACACGTTTATCAACTGCAACCGCCCCTCCATCCCTTTCCACAAATTCTCCTTTAACCTCCTCACGTCAACCTTCTTCGCCGTGCGTGCATAATTCACGTACTCGGGCCTGATTCTTCTTCCAGCTTGTGTCACAAGTTGGCTTCCGAAACTGCCTGGAAGAAGGTCCGGTTGACTTTGCTGTGCTTCCAAGTTTTGCTGTGACTGCTGAGATTCAGCTTGGTCAATGTCCGCTCTAGCTTCGCCATTCAGAAGATTTTGATGCTGGTCACGTTGTGACTCTGGTTGAGGCGACAACATCTCCCTCGCATCCATGAACGCCTGTCCGCCGTCATCGCCGCCTCCATCAACGATCCCATCGTCGTCATCATCATCGTCGATGGGTAACGGGCCATCAAAGGGAAGCCTTTGATCGTCATCCGCAAAGAAGTTCGCATCATAGTCGCCCTTTCTACCCTCATCGTCCAGCTCATCACTGGCCACTTCGCCAGAGGTGTTCGCAGTTCCAACGCGGTTTCTGGCTCCAAAGCCTTCGTCAATAATCCCCATACCTACTCCTCCTTCTCTCCTCCGGATCCTGCCCACCCGACATTTGGGTTTGGTCCACAGTCGCATTAATTTTCTTGGGTCAACGACCTCGTCATCTTTATCCAGCAGATTTCGGCCCTTTGTCCGCCACTGCGATTTTGGGAGAGATATCTGTGAATTTAGAACGGGTGGTTGTTCCAGTAACTCCTTCAAGGAATCCGACATCGGGCCCAGAAAATCAATTTCGTATGGCTCCTTTTCCTTTTTCTGTCTCGTGGGTGGCGCATTAGTGCCACTGGTTTCTTGTTGTTGTGCTTTCTGAATTTTCTGCATCCGCCAGTTTTCCAGGGTGAGAAAGGCTGTCTTGCCTTTTGCGCGTGAATTGAATGCTTTGTCGAAATAGGCCATGATAGACTCATGCTCCGCATCTTCTTGGTACTTGTGCTGCAAAGCCAACGCATATCCATCAGCTGCATCCCCCAAAAGATTATCATCCACATCTTCTGCTCGTGCAACTCTGGCCTGAGCTTCGAGGGCCGCATCTTTTGCCCAGGCCTCGCCTCCTTCGCCAAAGCCAACGTTATCTGCGACGTCGAAGCCACCGAGCAGCCCATCACCGTCGTCGTCATCGTCGAAACCCATGGCATTGCTTCCATCGAGGAATATCCCTGTTTGGTCGGCTAGACCAAGGGGAAAATTTGTTGCTGGAGGGGGCGCTGGTGTTTGGGACCTTTTGTGCTCTTTCCAGTCTTCAGGGACTTTGAGGAAGGGTAAGTTCAGGTCTCCAGATGGGTCGCCCAATGTGAAGGATTTCATAGAAGGGCAAATGTCCTGTGAGTCCAGTACGCTCATATCTGGGAAGAACTTGGACGCTAGAGAAGCAAGATCGATTTCTCCGTCTTGGTCGTCGGCAACAGGCTCTTCGTCTGGAGCGGCGGAATCTGGCGCGTGCGGCTCCTTCCCTGTAGATTCAACCTCATCTTCTTTTTCTTGTTGGCCGTTGTCCTTCTCACCGCCCAAAGCAGCATCTCCCGCATCATCACTGCTGTCAAACACGATGCGTCCGTCAGAATCGATGGACAAATGATTCAGCAGCAAGCCCTTAGCTCCTCCCTCGTCAAAATCTGCAGATGCCTTCTTAAAGAGCGGGTCGACCGCAAACTCGAGTTCCAGTTTCTTGCCCTGGAAGGAGGCAAAGCCGGGTGCGAGCGTAGCTTCATGGCTTCGCATAGGTTTCTTCTTGGATTTCCTCTTCCCTCCGCCTTCCCCATCCTCACCGTCTTCACCGTCTTCACCTTCTTCATCCTCGTCCTCCTCTTCATTGCCATCGCCTTTGCTTCTCTTCTTGCTGCCCTCAGAGGCACCGCCGTCAGCAAGACCACTCAACAGGCGGCCAGTCTCCGTTGCCACGCTGTCCACTCTGCTCGTATATATTTTGACACATCCATCTAGCGTGCAACTTGCCTTTTGAAAATTAACACCGTCCCCTTCTTTTAAGAGACTCATGTCGTGAAAGTAGTCTATCAGTGCAAAATTCCATGAGTTGGCGGCGTTGATTTTATTGTCCGTTGCCATCTTCATCCATTCTTCGAAATTGGCCAGGATAGGGACGCGTTTCATGGGTGTGACCCCGCTGTCTTCGGCGACACGGCCAAAGCTGTTTCGAGGGTGGTCATTGTTATTGCGCTGTTGGTTGCTCGGCCCTCCTCTTCTTCGTACCTGTGCTCCATGGTCTTGACTTCTAGGGGTACGTGGGGAATCCGACATGTTGCTGTAATTGGATTCCCTTCGTCTCTGGTGGAGTTTCCGCACAGGACTTGCCGCAGCGCGGATTTCGTTCATATGGATTTCTTGGAGGGCGTGTCGAGAGTGCAATCGAGCAACTTTTTCGCCTTTGTCATCGTTGAGCGGTATTCTGTTGAAACAGCACAGGAGGTTAGTATTCGACGCGAACCAAAATTTGCGAGAACTGGGAAAATACTGCATATCACTTTGCAGCGCTTCGAGTGAATCTGCGGTCGGAGTGGCCATACTTCACGGGCGATGACTTGCTGTTTTCGCGCGCCATGTTCATAACAACGGCCTGTCTGCTAGGGCGCTCACTGGCACCTCTTGCAACACGAGGCATCGTTTCCTGATATTCCGATTTCGCTGTCGTACTCTTATCCTGCCTCTGGAGGCCTGCTGCTCTCAATTCATACAGCAAGGCGTCTTGTCGTTTCTTTTTGTATTATCTCAAGGATGTTGCAATCGTCTCGCCATGGCCTGGTCTGTAGTTCTGGTGTCTCTCGAAGATTGTTGTGAGAGTTCTAACAATTGGAGTCGTTTGTTGACATGTACAAAAACAGGCTAGTGCATTCACTTCCGTTATGTCACGTGATACGGCTGCAACTGCGAACCTTGTCACTGCCATGCAGATCTGACAACCTGTACTCGGTACGAGGACAGTTCAAACAGTGTTCTACGACATACATAGTATAACGACGGAAGGATCAAATTGCGCGCAGGTTATATGTCTGATGCTCTCATTCAGTCTCGTCTAATTCTCCCTCATCGCTCGTCCTCTATCGACCGTTATCTAATCCAAAACCCTTCCAGCGACGGCACTGGCACTCCTATCCTTCGTTTCAGTCTTTCGCAGTCCTTTACCTTTCTGGATCTCACCCAGCAAAGCACCAATATCACCAGTTCCAGCACGAGCTGGGGCAGGCATCGGCGGAGGCGGCGGCGGACCTCCGGGTGCACCAGAGTTAGGGAACGGAGGAGGTGGCGGTGGTGCATTGAAACCACCAGCGTCTGGCATCGGGGGTGGAGGCGGCGGTGCCGTTGGTGCACCACTTCCGGGAATCGGAGGAGGCGGTGGAGCGGAACCCGAGTCAAACGTACCTGGAATAGGTGGCGGCTCTTGGACGGGCGTCTGGGGCTTACTGTCCATGGCGGACAATGGCCTGGGTGGTGCCATGGTACCGAACAAGATGGAAGCCAAATGCTTTGCAGATCCCCCACCCGGGTGATCGGCTTCATCGTCACTGTCTTCATCCCTGTCAGAGCCCGCAGCAGACCATTCGTCCTCTTCGGGACGACGCCGTGATTGAGCCCCAGTAAAGCTCGGAGTCAATGGCTTAGCAGCCTCTTGTTGAGCAATGCGGTGGAAGGGATTAGTTGATGGCAGACTCTCGGCAGGCGGCGCAGGTGGATGAGGCGCTGGCGGAGGTGAGAATGCCTGAGCTTGCGGGATGGGGGGTGGAGAGAAGACTGGCTTTCCATTCTCTGATGGTTGTGTTTGGGAAAGCTTTCGGAAATATGGGTTCCTTGACTCTTCGGCAGCGGGTGGGCTGGAAACGGGGGTCGGCTCATGGCCACTGCTTGCAGAGGGTTCTGGAGGGGCAGTACTTGGTGGTGGTGAGGCGATAGAGCCAGTCAGCATTTGACTGGTTGCCGGTGTGCTCTCTTGGGGCGTAATCTGTTGCGGGCCCTCGTCCTCGTCGTCAGACGACGACTCATCTCCAAGATGTTCAAGTTGAAGCTGGAGTTGCCGCTCTCTTTCTCGGGCAGCCTCCAGCTCGGCTCTTTGTGCAGCAAGCTTGGCCTCCTTCTCCTTGGCCTCTTTCTCTGCCGCTTTCTTCCGAGCCCTTTCTTCCTGTTTCTTCACCTTACCTGCCTTGACTTGCTCTTCAAGCGCTCGCAAGCGAGCCTGGGCGGCCTCACGCTCCTTCTCCAGCTCGTCTTCTTGCGCCTTGGCCTGGGCCCTAATCAGATGTCAGTGGAAGTCATCCCAAAAGGAGAACAATTACTCACTCCAGCCGTTTGCGTTCTCGCGCCTCTGCTTCCTGCTCTGCTCTAATCTGCGCCGCGGCTTCTTCCTCCGCCTTCGCACGGGCTGCTGCCTCGGCTGCTTTCTTCGCGGAGAGATCTGTGCTGTCTTGTCTCTGTTTTCGAGTTGGTGGCGGGGGGGGCTTCTTTTCAGCTTTCGGGCTTGGAGGGGCTACGCCCTCATTGGCTAGTCTCTGCTGTCGTTCTTGCTCACGTCTAGCATCTTCGGCTTCGGCTTTGCGAAGTCGCTCGGCTCTCTCTCGTTGCTCACGTTCCTGGCGCTGCTGGGAAGTTTCACTAGGCTCCCCAGCTGACTTGATACCAGCTGCAGCCATTCTCTCTTGGATACGTTTCAAGGCCTTCTCCTTGGCAGTGGCAATGCGGTCCTGCTGCGTGTGGCCTGTCGTTACGGAAGAGGTTGAAGGGGCCGAAGTTGGAGCTGGTCGCGAAGGCAAGTTGCCATTTGTGGGCTTGGCTTCGTCGTGAGAGTAGTCGCGCGACGATTGTCTGACCGGCCGTGATTGCCTATGTTTGTCAGTCTCATGTTTTCCGTCAACAGTTATATGGATCTTACTCTTCCTTGCGGATCTTCGCGGTTCTACTGCTCCGCTGCAGATCGTAGATGAGTTCCTTTATCTCATCTTCGACACCAAGAGCTTCCTCCCACCTTCTGCGTTCATGCTCTTGAGTTGCGTTTTCCCCTTGGTCTCGCAAACCATCTTCGAGACTCGAAACAAAGTCCTTTACGCTCTCTTCAACGTCTCTAGTCATGGCCTCGTGCCGTTCTTGTTCCGACTTGACCTTGGAAGTCTCTTGTTCTAAGCGCCTCTGCGCACCTGCTTCGTCATCGGCAGCGGGGGCAGGGCGACCAGCAAGCTCTGCAGCTCGAGCTTGCATCCTAGCCCGCGCTCGCGCCTTAATGCGGTCGGCTTCGGTCACAGTGCCACCAGGGCCAGTTCCAACAATGTTAGAAGCGCTGTTCGGGTGAGCTTTGGCGTCCTTTAAGCGGAAAAGTTGCAGCTTGGCTTCAGCAATGCTCTTCTCAACCTTCCTTACGTCTGACGCTAACGCTGGCAGACGATCTTGGTATCGCTGTAGCTCCCTTCTCATTGCTCTCCTCTCTGCGCCAGTGTCACCCCCAGCGAATCCGGAATTGGGATGTGTGTCGATATCGTCCTGAATTCGCCGGATTTGCCGGAAAAGATCTTCAGCCTCTCGTCTGTCTCTTCGATCCAAGACATCATCATCATCCGCTTGTCGCTCGTCCTGGAAATCAGTAGCGTCGAGCAAGATCTTCTTCTCCCGAATCTTCTTCCTAATTTGATCGGGAGTCAGGTCATCGTACACGCTATCCCCCATATCGGATGACGGTGCGGGGGAAGGGGTTCTACCCCCATGTCCAATACGGCGCCTCGCGCTCGAACGATATCCAACATCATCGTCATTATTCCGAAAGACAGTTGCATCTTTGCGACCAAAGTTGGGCGATGCAGAGCCGCTGCGGAACGAATGATCCTTAAGATAGCTCACACCGGTCTTTTGTGGCTGCAGGAATGCGCCCGATGACTTTCTAGCCTCTGCATCTTGGGACAGGAGAGACTTGACGGTATCGATCGAGCTATTGAAATTCTTCGTTGAGGGAGGAATGAGTTCCGGGGGAAGTCGGGCGGGGATTGGGTACCCGTTCAACTTCCGGTAGATAAGGTGCATTGCCACGGCGAACTCGTCCATGTTCAACCGACCCTTATTATTAGGATCAGACAGGGTCCAAATGGCTTCCAAGTCAGATCTCTCCAGACCACTCTGACCCATGATCTCAATGGCCGTTTCTCCGGCAATGAAACCTCTGCCTAAGCCGTCCCAAGCTCGAAACAGTTGATCATAAATTCTCTTCTCGTCCTTGGTGACCGCCCAAGGAATCTTTGCGCTCCCGGATAGCCCTTGCGTAGTGTACCCACCGGCCTCGCGGCCAGCTTGGGGCATTAGACGCTGTTGTAGAGCTTCAATGTTGGGTAGACCTCCGGCAGGCGTATTGACAAAACCCCATTGACCGGGAAGTCCAGTCGGCTGGGTTTGTAGATGACCAGTTTGTTGCGGCGAGACATTGGAACCAAAGCCACTCGTGGGCATGAGAGGCATTGAAGGCCGAGCGCCGCCAAAAGCAGTTGGCTGGGCGGGATTTACAAAACCAGTGGGCTGCGTCTGTAGTCCCTGTGATAGCCCAGGAAAGCCTGTGGGCTGCGGCTGGAGTCCGGGCTGAAATCCTGTAGCCTGGTTGTAAAACCCCGTCGGTTGAGAAGTCAGTTGCGACAAAAGCTGCTGATTTGAGGGCTGCTGTGGGGTCGGCTGCTGAGGAGCAGGCGGAGAAACAGCATTCTGACGGAGCGGAGCGTCGAAGTCCGGTACGTTTGACCGCGTTGGCGGCAGAGGCTTCTCGTCCGGGACACCAAAGGAGATGATATCGACCATACTCGACACCTCGTTCTTGATCTTCTCGGGAAGGACGCTAGGCAGATCCTTTCCGGTCAACCTCAGATTGCACAGATACATTGCCAGAGCAAACTCCGGGAAAAGGAGCTGCCCTGACTTTGTAGTATCTGAAAGGATCCATATTTGCGATAAGGCGCTGCCCGGCAATTTAGACCTGAGAAGCAGATCTTTGGCCTTCTCTCCACTCAATGCCTGGCCATCTCCCGCGGCGGACTTAAACAGCTGCTCGAATTTCGCTTGGTCGGTAGCAGTGATGAAAGACAATCGAATGTTCGGAATCCTGCTGGAGCTCTTGCTCTGCCTCCTCTTTGCCGCAGATGTGCCGGTGGAGCCTTGGGTAAAGGAGGCCGCAATCTGAGCAGAAGTCTGCTGAGGGCGAAGCGGGGCAGCTACAGGTGGTTGCTGTGCCGGAGGAGGAGGAGCTGCTGGAAAGGATGGCTGTTGCTGAAAAGCTGGCGCCTGCGGAGGAGGCTGCTGGAACTGGGGTTGCTGGGGTTGATTCTGAGGAGGATAGCCCGTAAACTGAGGTTGCTGCGCAGGAGCCTGGAAACCCTGCTGCTGCTGATAACCCGGAAAGCCGGTCTGTTGAGCTTGTAACTGACCGGGGAAGCCGGTGGGCTGCGGAGCAAAGGGCGATTGCTGTTGCGGAGGAGCTTGATTGAAAGAGCCGAAAGATTGCTGCGGTCCAAAGCCTCCAGGCGCAGGACCAGGACGGGCGGTGTTTCCGCCGCCCAGAAACGAATTGGAAGACGAGTACATGCTTGCAACAAAGGACGTGAAAATGCAAAATGCGAAAAGCGGATGGAGGACAGAAGACACGGGAAAATGAAAATGGGGATGGGAATTGAGTGAGATGAGCAACAGCCAGAGTTTCAGGAATCAGGAGCACTAACCGACCTCGCCGCTGGGAGGCTAGTGAGGCTTCGCAGGCTTCGGCGGCTTGCTGGCCACTGACGCGGTGTTTGCGGTGTTTGCCGCTCAGCTTGCGACTGGTGAGGCTGAGCCGGGCACGTGACGGTGTCGCTGCTTTAGGCTGAACTGGTTGAGCTCTATTGCTGCCAACTGCGCTCCGAAGCAAGAATACTGCATGCGTGGTGAAAGCACACTTCACATCCGAATTCCTACCTGAGTTGCTGGCGTCCAACATATTCAGAGCTTCAACTTATGGTGTTGAGGACGACATTGTCATGAAAGTTATTGCTGACACGAACAGTCGTGGAAATGCCAAAGAATGTGGTTGAGAATGCGCATTTTCGGCCATTGTGGGCAAAGAAAAGCGAGCATCAACCGAGCATTGTCACTGATTCAATTTCTTACTAGCGAGCTAGGTACTCCATCCTCACTCAGACAAGTTTGTTTCAGTGCCCATCGAGCGTCTTCCTTTCATACAGTCATCCCTGACGAAACTCTCTGCTTGTTTCCTTCTCGCCATCCTACCCTGATGGCCATCAACTCCGGGAACCATAGAAAATGTACCTCCTCATGTGTCGAGAAGACCAGAATGAAAAGCGGCTGTCATGTGCCAAGCATCTAGCCAACAAATGGACCACGCTGTCTGAACTTCATACCTTAAAAGGCTGGAAGGGGAGAGCTTTAGCCGTCGTTCGTCGGTACGACTCGTTCCAAGGAACAGCGCAATCTTGCTAGGGCCACGGCACCCAGCATTGTACTGGGTAGAGACAAGCCTATGATGGTCGCTGTCTTTCGGCCGAATGGAGGCTGGGGAAAAGGTGGGCCACCCAGGCGGAGTAACACGAGGGATGGCTTCCGTATGCTCCCCAACTGCAATCCCCAGATTATCCTTCCCCCGGCTGCGGCACGGGTAAGGATCGTTCTGACTAGTCATTGAAAGGTGCAATACCCACTTGTGCATAGGGACAAAATGGAGCAGGTACGTGATGACCGATGTTGAATACTTGTGAGAAAGAGAGCAAGGGCAATGGACATGACAATCGTCTGGCTCTCTGCATCCTAACCAGATAAGCGGGGGACAGAGAGCAAAGGAGCTCCGCTACGGTTTGTTGAGGCATTCTCTGAGATCCACAACATCCAGAGAGCCACGAGTCATAGGAATACACCAGACCGAGGTTCTAGAAAGCATCGAAAAACAGCACGCAGCGCGGGCTTGGAATTTACCTAAGCAGCTCCATACCACCTTCCACGCTCAAATCTTTCGCTTTCCATCAATCTAGTCTTTTTCCGTCTCCATGAACAAGAACACTCCCGTAAAGCGGCGGCGTTATCGGTGCGTCGAGGCATGCAGCACCTGCAAACGGAGAAAAGAAAAATGTGACGGTAACAGACCTTGCGCTCGCTGCATCGAACGTGGCGTCCATGTGGCTTGCCAACCTCCGCCTCCTCAAACCTCGACGGGCTCTCCAGACAACTACAACGTCAATTGCGAAGGGTCTGTTGCCTTAGAAGCGGCGAACAGAGATCGAAATGTGCAAGACGGATCGTCACAAGGGTCACTTTATCCTCTGGCCCTGGTGACGAGCAATACATCTGCCACTTCTGTTCCCGAAACGTCACGGCTAATACAAGACACAAGAGGCAAATATATGTTCATTGGCGATTCAGCAAACTTGTCACTGCTTCAAAGCATTTGCAGTCTCGTCGGCGCGTCCATAGGGCCGTGTGCGTTTGTTGAAGATCCGTTCCGATACCAGATGGTCGAGTCGGCGCCGGAAGGACCTGCTACTTGGCTTCATGCTACAGACCACCAGCTTCCGGCCAAACCGAGTTTTGATGAGGCAGCCTATTTGATTCGTCGATATATAATGGCAACCAATTGTGTGCTGGATCTCTTTGACGAGAGCGACCTCCTGGACAATCTTGCAAGTTGGCTTGACAGCGAGTCAACCCCCACATCTATTCTGAGCGCAATATACTACCTGGTGTTCGCTATTGGGGCGCAGACATGTCCAGAGGATAAAGACGCACTGGCCAGCGCCTACTTTGACTATGGTCGGTATCTCACGGCATCATACTTTATGGAGGATCCCAGTATTCCAACTGTGCAAGCATATGCCATGATTACCATGTACTTGCTTGGAGCATCTCGAAGAAATGCTGCTTTCATGTATCTCGGGACAGCTGTTCGTGCCGCTTACGCTCTCGGGTTACACCGATCTGACATCGCTGGGCTTTTCACCCCCCCAGAGATCCAAACCCGGGAGAGGCTATGGAAGGTCATGCGCATCCTAGACCTCTTTATGAGCGCCTCGTTGGGAAGGCCTCCGTCAACCGAAGAAACACGCAATACCGAGCTAGACGAGAACTACTCCGCATCAGTAGACCTATGCGCCATCTTCGAAAAGATCTTGACCGATATTTACGCAAAGCGAATGATCTCCACCGAGACTCTCCAGAAAATCAGCCAACACCATCGTCGATGGACAGTTCGCTTTCACGGTGGCCTTGATACAGACCGGATAAAGGACGAGGAATTTCTCGACGGCCGTCTGCCTAATGTTGGCCTAATACACGTCAAGGAGGCGTATTACTGGACGATTATGCTCCTGACACGGCCATTCTTCGTGGATTATATTTCCAGTCACATTGCACTAAAGGCACAGAGCCGGGGTGATGGAGCGAGAAGTCCTGATCCTCTCAAATCTTCTCACCGAGTCTTGGTTCATGCATGCGTCAACTCTGCAATGAGCACAGTGAACCTGCTTAGAAAATTGCTTGGATTTGAGGGGATACCGAAGAGACTTCCTTTTGTCGTCAATTCCCTCTTTGTCTCGGGTCTCATACTAGGGTTGTCTTACTTCGGTGACTTGTACAAGACATATTCTCTAGATGACAGTCTTGGTACCGCACTAAAGCTCCTTGCGCTCTTTCCCCATGATGCGGTCGCAAAGAGGAATTTGGCGATTCTTCAGTCGCTATTAGATGCCTGCAATACTTATGTCAGGCGCGAAGCAAAGGAGAACATGGCAATACATTCTCAACTGGTGAGTGGTATGTTTGGGCAAATTCACGGGGAGGATGACATGGAAGATTCAGTCACGACAAATACTCCGCAGGAAGGTCCATCGCATCTCGGCAGTGTCGAAGACCTCAGGCGACCAGATGAGTTCAACTATACTAGGCCACACAGCGCCATGGATCAGGGAGCGACTGGTGTGTCCACCAGTGGCAACAGCGAAACCATTGAATTAAATACGCTAGATCGCGCAGAAACCAACATCCTCAATCTAGATTCGATAGTTGGTCTCCCGGCATTCCAGGACGACTTCTCTATGCTACCAGGCTCCATGCTACCAGCGATGTCTCCGAGGACGTTATGGTTCGGCTCCTACGAAGAAAATGTGCCGCTATTCTCGACGGTCGACGCCCGAAATTTTCTGGAATAGCAACGACTATCGAGAACCTTTCCCGAAAAGCTGCACGCGATATTACACATTCGAGAGAAAGTGTTCATATGAAGGAAGAGACGGCGTTTACCCGAGGCCAGGGACACTAGAATACTGAGCGATGTGCTTTTCTTTTGCGAGTCCTCCTAGCTTCTAGGCCACTCCTTGCCACCCATAAGACGTGCTGACCCCGTAGCCCTTCTTCCAACAATGCTGATCCTCTCACGGCCTTCGACCATCTGCAGTATCTACCACAGCCATTTACGCGAATAATGGATGGTTTCTTTGAGGCTCATCCTTGAGACGTGCGAGATGAAATGGAACAGGCAGGAATGATTCTTATCACTTCACGGTCCTTGTTGACTTGCAAACCTCGAGGGAAAGGTGAACTTATACTGCACAATCGAGACCTGTGGAAGGCTCCCCGGGTTATATCTCCATCTATACGCGGAGACAACCTCGCCCATGCTTGTCTTCTCAGGCCTGGCGGTCGCTTCCCGAAGGACCTCAAGACCTGGGACGGCACCATTCAGTCATGGAGTTGCATTTGTGGACCAAACCAATGAGAGAAGTTGCCGAAAGCCATGGTGCTTCCGATGGAACTCCCCAGATTTCCGACCCCACAACACCTTGCCGACTCCATCTCTCCATCCGATACTATCAAGTCATGCAGGGGTGAAGAGGGATAAACCGTTCGTCTAAGGCAATGACCATCTTTCAACATGGAGAAGGTCTCGGCAATGCGGAGGATTCTGGGGTAGCTGAGTCGGTCTAACTCGCTCATCCTTTATGCGGACACCTTGCCTTACAATGGCGTATCGAGTTGATCCAGACCGCGCGGCCGATCTTACATTCGATACTGCACTTAGAGATTTTCGTCTGCTTTGCATGATTCGCGCTGTCGCCGCAGGGACCTTGATAACCGCACTATCGCGAGCGTCCCTCCATTTCTACTACAAACGTGCAGGCTGACTGGCTTCATTTCCAGCGAGAGAAACACCACAATCGAACATGTCTCATGATAGCGTCCGTCTCCCAAATGAAGTGATCCTTCGGATGGCTTCGGGACAAGTCTACTGGTCGGGAAGGCGTCATATATTGCTGATATTTGTTGAGGATTCTGAAACTCTAGCAGAACTTATCGACCGATCCTGCTTCAATTCGGCCTGGCATCCACTTGCACAAGTGGGGTGTGTTGGGGTCCGGGGTTTCTGATATCGTCTTCGCACGGGGCCTTCCTATGCCTTCCTCGGGAATGCCATTGATTGGGCAGACAATTGAGTTCACCAAGCTGCCTCTCAATAGCATCCGGTATTTAAAGTATTGAGTCCTTGGAATTGAAATTCAACATGTGCTCCCAGAGAGGCCCACGCTTGCCCCAGAACGCCTTCAAAGTCTTTTGTTTCTATTCTTCTTGAACACTTTGATTTCAGATCCGAACTGCTGCGGTCATCCTAGAAGCACCTAAAATGGGGTCTCTTCCTCCTCCAATTGAGCTGGATGCGCTCGTTGTCGGAGCTGGTTTTGGTGGGGTCTACCAGTTGAAAAGACTACGCGAAGAAGGTTACAAGGTCAAGCTCGTGGACAATGCCTCGAGCTGGGGCGGTGTATGGTACTGGAACCGATACCCAGGCGCCCGTGTGGATAGCACGATTCCTCACTACGAATTCTCGGATCCTTTGCTCTGGAAAGAGTGGCGTTGGAAGCAGCGATTCCCCGGAAGTGCAGAACTTCGAGATTACTTCGCATTTGTCGCCGAGAAATGGGATCTAGATAGGGATGCCCAGTTCAACACCTTGGTTACAGCGGCCTCCTGGGATGACGAAACCGCCAAATGGCACGTAACCACTCAGACAGGCCAACAGTTTATTGCAAGATACTTACTTTTGAATACCGGGTTCTCGGCAAAGAGACATATCCCTAACTGGCCGGGCATCGAGAAGTTTCGCGGCACTTTTGTTCATCCTTCCTATTGGCCCAAAGAAGAGCCCGATCTAAAAGGCAAGAATATCGCCGTGATTGGAACTGGGTCGACTGGTGTCCAGCTTGCTCAGGAATTGAGTAAAGTGGCCAAAGACTTTGTGCTGTTCCAGCGAACCCCGAATCTGGCACTCCCGATGAAACAAATCGAGTATACTGGCGACGAACAGACTATTCCTCACAAGCAGTATCCAGACCTCTTTGCCGGACGGTCAAATAGCTTTAGTGGGTTTTCGTTCAACTTTTTGCCGCGGGCAACCTTCGACGACACGCCGGAGCAAAGGAGACAGACGTATGAAGACCTGTGGGCCAAGGGCGACTTCCACTTCTGGCTTGCGACCTACTACGATATGCTCTTCACTGAAGAAGCCAACAAAGAAGCGTATGACTTCTGGAAAGCCAAGGTGCGCGCGCGAATTCAGGACCCTGATCTCCAAGAGTCGTTGGCCCCAGAGATGCAGCCGCACGCGTTCGGATGTAAGCGCATCTCGTTAGAGAACGGCTTCTACGAGATCTTCAACCAGCCCAATGCCACGCTGGTGGACATGAAGAGGACGCCGATCGTCGAGTTCACGGAACGCGGCATCAGGACCGTCGGCAGAGAGTTTGAGCTCGACTACATCATCTGTGCAACGGGCTTCGACGCCATCACGGGCGGGCTGAAACAGATCGACATCACCGGCGTGGCTGACCAGAAGCTCGCCCAGAAGTGGGAAAAGGGCACAAAGACGTACCTGGGTCTCTGCGTCGCGGGCTTCCCCAACATGTTCTTCACCTACGGGCCCCAGGCCCCGACGGCCTTCTGCAACGGCCCAACCTGTGCCGAGCTGCAGGGCGAGTGGATCGTGCAGATGGTCAAGGACATGGACAGCGCGGGCCTGACCAAGATCGAGGCCAGATCCGACGTCGAGGACCAGTGGGCGCAGGATATCTGGAAGCTCGCCAACGCGACGTTGCTGCCAACGACTAAATCGGTATGTCGGCCGTGAGTTTTCGCTTTCACCGTGGTTCACTTTTCCGCCCTTGCCTTTCTCACTCCCCTGATTGACCATATCTGGCCTTCTTCGGATGGCGGTCGCTCTATACCAGTATCCCTTGCTAACGATGTCGCAGTGGTACATGGGTGACAATATTCCCGGCAAGCCGAGGGAGCCGCTCATCTACCTTGGCGGCGTGCCAAACTACTACAAGACCATCAATGACTGCGCGCAGGAAGGTTATAAAGGATTTGTGCGCGCGTAGGATAGAAAGAATGCAGAGACAGGCAGACACAGTCTTCTTGTGTGAAAGGTAGTTCGGCAATTCCATCATCACCATACCAGTAATCTCTGCTCCCTTGCGATGCAATGCCATATGCTATGTGATGCAGCTTTTGTCAATGTGCCGAGTCCTTCCACCGTCGAGAAGCTGTTTCCTTCTTCGTCGAAACGCCTATGTCCATCCAGCACTCCATCCAGGCCGCCGCTAATGGTACAGGGTATCTATCACCAATGCCTCGTCATCTCGTGTTTATTTCCCGTGTAAGAACCATGCTGCCTGCCTCCGAAGAAAGGACAACAGGCCAGGCCAGCCCACCTGGTTGATTGATCACTGTCCATTCTGTGCAGCACCGCCAACCATCTTTCTCAACTCGTACTCTCGCGTAAAGTTGGTCTTGAGGACGTCGAGGTCATGGACCAGGTCGCGGGAGCTGGCCAGCACGGCTTCCTTGGGGGTGATCTCGCCGTCGGTCTGGACTCGAAGTTCAAATTTGGCAAAGAGAGGATGCGGGACCTGCGACAGTCGCGTCAGAATTCCTCGTGGTTCGTTTTTCTCCCCCTCATGACTTACTCGATAGGCAGCAAAGGTGACATGGCTGTTTTTAAGAAGCTTGTCGCGGAGAAGGTTGGCGAGGGTGTGGTCTTCCTTGTTGAAGGTGAAGATAGTAGTGTTTGGAGTACCTGAATGGTTGTCATTAACCGGGTAAGAAATACATGCACACCGACGTATGAACCCACGGGTGTCGATCTTCTCTTCAATTTTCTTCTCATCGTCTCCAAGGAGGAAAGCCTCAGTGCTGTAGAACAAGAATTAGCCAATGTCAGCCTGCAACTCGAACGCAGAAAGCAGTAAACAGATCAGGCAGCAGGCACTCGTGGGTGTTCAGGCAAGAAATCTGTAGAGGACGCAATCCAGATATCGTCTGCTTTTGTAGTTGCGCACCATTCTTGTCTGTTGATCTCGTCGTGGTGCATTTGCTCCATTGCGAAAAACTGGTATCGAAGGTTCGCGGGGTGACGTCTCCAAGCATGGCCATCTATTGGGTAGCCGCCCGGTCCGGCACCAGGGTACGGACTTTGCGAGGGGCGTGATTTGGCTGGCGACAGAGAAAGCGGATCAAGTACAGACGGCGGACCAGGATCTTCCGTATCGGTCATTTCGACAACGTCCTTGCAGCTGGCCTTGGATTCCGTGACCGTAACCCCATTACTATGATATTGTGTCAAACAGGTCGAGGTATCCTTGGTCGGTCCAAGTCTAGGTCCAGGTCCCAGAAATGATCCAGAGTCCAGAGGCCAGAGCAGGCGCGACCGTGGGGGGCTGAAGAAACTTACGTGCCTGGGATGTTGACACTATTGGTGTCAACACCAGAATTGACTCCCAAGTGCTTATTCTTTGGATGGTTGGGCCAAACTTGACTTTCAACCGGGACGAGGTGGCCAGAGGACATTCGTTTTGGGGAGAGAGTAGGCCTGGGAGGGGTCTTGTCTCCTGTGGTCGCAGCCTGGCTGGGGAAAGTATCCGACATGATGATGACAGTTTTCTCTGACAGGAAGAGCTTGCAATGCGGTCCACAGAAAGGATCGAGGATCAAGGATAAGTTGCTGGGGAGGCAGTGGACGGCAGAGGTGAGGTCTGAATTCAGGTCGGAGTGAATGGCGCCAAGACCCAGCTTCTTCGAGGCAGCCGGTTTTCCGGGAAGACATCACGGCAGCCAACGAGACATTTACGAGAAATGTCGTCCAAATGATTCTTCCATA